GATCTGCTCTGTTCCGCTTGGCTGCGAAGAGCTAAACTGAGCCAGTGGAAGCTGCGAGGCTCTGTGGCCACAGCACCAGTAAATAAACAAACTGTGGCATCCAGTTAACGTGTTTCTCAAAGTGGTTTTGCGGAGTGATTTCAGAAACATGGCTCTGGATGTCCTGAGATCCCTACTGTGGCTTCTTCTGCCCTTAGTAGCTGGGGTTTCTGACTGGCTTCTCTCTGCATCTTTTCTCCCACGGCCATTTGCCCCCAGAATGAGGGAGGAGGGGTTTCTGCAGCACAGTCCATGAGGGTCCATGAGGATTTGGGGATGAGAGGTAGTCCTGGCAGTGTCATTTTACCGCCCTCACTCCCTTGGCCTCTGTGCAGAAGTTCCTGATTTCTCTGCTTCTGCCTCTGTTTCTGCCTGTGCTGTCTTCGTGTAGGCCAAACAATGGGGGGCAAATTTTGCTCTCCCTTTAATGAAGAATCACTGATTGCAGTAGGATAGCCATGAATGTGACAAAAGGAGAGTTTCAGAGGGTGGCATTGAAACTGGACAACAGAGAGTTAGCTGTTGCAAATTATATTTGGCAATGTTTTAAGATCTAAACAGATGATAGAACAATTAAGAAGCTCAGACTTTCCTTTTCAGACTTTCCTTTTCAATCTGCACTACGTAACTTTTAGCTTTCAGATAAACAACGGGTCCGAATATGATCACATCCAAACTGAATGCCATAAGAACTCTCAAAGGATGATTTCTATGACAAACACAAGCTATCTAGCTATTTTTCTTGTAGACCTGTTAGTGCATAAGAGAAAATGCTGCCAGATATTTTTTTTTTCCTGGTGTGAAGGAATTGTCACCCCTCCCACAAAAAATGGCTTTTCTCAAACTTCAAAAAAAGAAAAGTGTATTTTGAGTACACTGGTCCTGGAAAACTTTGCTCTCAGTGGGGAACATTTCAGAAAATCATGAATTACTGGAAATGAGTAGTTACAATGAAATCTGTGCACCACGCTTAACTGCAACAGTTGCTGTTGCCTCACTGTAGTGTAATGGCATACCTTTAGATTGTAAAGCTTCCTGACAGGGATTGTTTCCCTTCTATGGGCTGGGCCCCACCCCCCGCCCTCCCCAGCCATAAAACTAACAAGGCTGCCCCATTCCCAGAAGCAAATAAGGCAGGAGGACAAGAAGCCAAGGCAGCTGGACCCTAATCCTTGGGGGTGAAGCCCGGAGCAGCTTCTCCTGCTCATTGTCGGGAGTGCAGAATGGGAGAACCCCTAGGTGGCTTCCCCCGTGCCCAGGAACCTGTGGAGCTGCTGGGCTCAGGGCAGGAGCTGCAAGCACATATGAGAGACAGAACTCTGATCCCCTCACATTTCACCGTTTTAGGTTGGTGGAAGCATTCCTGTTGAGGAAGCCCAGCAGTGTTGTATAGACCTGCACCTCTGCAGTAATTACTGCAGTAGCTGTAAATCAACCTAATATAAATTGACCTGGCTTTGTCTACACTTAAAACTTTAAAGCACAGCTGCAACAAAGCTGCCATGGCAGTGCTTTAATGCCACAGTGTGGCCACGGGAGGATTGTTGGGGGAGAGCTCTCCCAATATTCCAGGTAAATCACTTCCACCAGGGGAGTAGCTAACTGCACTGCAAGCAAGGCTCCTGGCTCTGCAGCCCAGTTTACACTGGAGCTTTACATTGGTGTAAGTTGCTGTGCTTAGTGAGGTTTTTTTTCACATCCCTGAGACAAAGTTGCAGCACAGTAAAGTGGCAGTGTCGAGCTAGCCTCAGATTTGTAGTGTAGATATAACTTGTGCTTGTACAGTGACACTCCAGTTCTGATTGGGGACTTTGAGTGTCGCCATACAATAAATACTCACTACTAATGTTACTTACTGGCTTTTAATATTCAGTTTTTAAAAAGGGAGCATTTTTTCGTTTCACAACTACCAAGATACGTTAAAGACAAAGAGGTGGGCTTTTCTCAGTAACTACTTCTGGTTTGTCACATCTGTAACACGAAAAGCAAAAAAAACTCAATGTATTTTGCATCTTAAACTGCAAGTTGCTGTTTTGTGTTAAACTTGCTGTGATGTAGGTATCCTGGTTCTGCAGATCAACTCTATAGTGTGAACAGACTCAATAAAACGAAAGGAAATTGATTTTTTTTTTAATTAAATAGGATGTGGATCAAATAGAGCCCTGCATCTGCGGATATGGATACAGATTTCCATGACTTATTTTTGCAGATGCAGGACTCTACAGATCAAGAAGCGGGTCTTCTGCTGCTGTAAATCTGTTGGAGTGAGTGGAACTTTGCCATGTGACCCCAAACATTTAACTAAAAATTGCACTTATTTGTATAACTAGCCACAAATTATATGGCTATTACAACATTGCAAAAAACTAATTAAAGGATTTTTCCTCCTTCCCCCCTCCTTAAGGTTACAGTAATACAGAATCAGCAAACATGTATCTGGTGTCAGACACCGAATATTCACTTCATGGTTACATTATCCACTGTAATGACCGCCTTTGGCATCACTTTACACACCTGGAGACTGCTGTCAAAGAGGGGACCATGCAGGGCCATCGGGGTTTTGGAAAGACAACCGAGGACTTGTTTCAGGTAATGCAGATTCTGGCTCTTATTTTGTCTTAATTATCAAGAAATTGTAGGGCCCAGAAAAATTGATCAATGAGAATTGCAAACTGAGTGTGTCATCATACAGATTAGTGTAATCTAGGAATCGAATAAACTATTAAATGTCTCAAATACCAATACATTCAACTCTTTAAGCCCTTAAAGTCAGTAGCTAAACTCTCATTGGCTTTAATGGTGTGCAGTATTGAGCCCTGAGGTGCTGAGGCACTTGGAATGTCAGTATAGTTACCCAAAAACCAAATTAATATCTACAGTATAGTACTTGCTCTTTCCTGAAAGCTTCTCATTCAAAAATTTCTTCAGCAGACATCTAGAAATATTTTATTTTTATAATGTCATCGAGACAAGATCTGAGTTTAACTTTGCTCCTGACTAAAATCTGCTTTTGATACCAAACCTTTTCTTCTTATCCAAGCATGTCTATAAATCTGCCTTGCATTGATTCAAAAATTTTCAGAATTCATTATCCTTTGACTCTCTATTTGTCACATGTATTTCCATCTGATGAATAATGAGGGTCATGTGTATCATGCCATTTAGTAGCTTTGCAAGGATCATACAATTTACCCCTTTGCCAGTATTCTCTTTGCACTGCAAACATCCCATTCAGGCCTCTCTCTTGCTTGGTTTGCTTATTACAGAAGGGGGCTGTAGTTGAGGGAGGGGAGTGGAGGGAGGAGGCAGGAGATGCAGAGAATATGCACCAGCATGACTCACAGAGTTCTGGGAGTTAATATGAGTGTCTGTGTTGAAGAAGCTTAGAGGAGTATAGGGACCAGGAGTTCCTTTCTGTAAGGTACTAAGCACCACTTAGGAGGCATCTGACGAAGTGGGTCTTTGCCCACGAAAGCTTATGCTCCTACACTTCAGTTAGTCTATAAGGTGCCACAGGACTCTTCGTCGCTTTAGGAGGCATTGGACATCCTCAGTTTCCACTGACCTCAGGGTTTCAAGAACCTAATTATATATATATACACACACCTTAAAATCAATAAACACCTTGATTTGCACTTTGAAATGAATGGGGAGTAGGAGGCAAAGTCTTTGGGTACAAGTGTAATGTTAACATGCTAAGAAAATGGTTTCATGCATTCTTTGCTGGCTGTAGAGTTCAAACAGTTCTCACTGTTGCCCTACGCAGAAGATATTAAAGCAATCTGTTCTAGAGGTTACAGCAGCATGCATATCTATAGCAAGGATCATGTGAATGGCAAATGGTTGCTTGATCTGTGGCTTGAAAGGTATACAAGTGGGAAACAGGCACAGTGTGTGGCTCCTCATCTAGGCCTAGATTGTAATCTTACTATTCAAAGTCTTCAGCTAGCTTGGCTCCAACCTAGTAAGAGCTGCCCTTGATGGGAGAATACTGATTTGAGGACACATAGCAACCCAGTGATGTGCTTGCATGATCTGGGAGATTAGAGTAAACTTCTTTCCTGTGCACCACATCAGCAGGGTCGATAAATGGATGTACTATTTCTAGACTCTCTAGATTTGAATGTCGGGAAACGGTGGCAGCTGTTTCCAGTAAGGTCCTTGCCTCTGTAATGTGCTTCCCATCTGACTTAGAACACTGTGTCCAGGTCCGACTCTGATAAAGGCATAGTGTTTGCTCAGGTTACATGCATATGGTTGAAGGGTAAAACTGAGTCTATTTACTTTCATATCAGTCAGTTACTATGGTTTTGTATGTAAGTGTGCTTAGAGACAGGGTGACACTTTTAAAAATAATAAATTCACCCAAGAAACTTGGTGTTTTATAAGCATTCGCTAATTAATGCTGCCAGTGTCATTTTAAGTAAGTGTTCCTGTTTTACAGTTGCACAAACTGTCGCATACGTAGGATAAGTGACTCAATGAGCCAATAGCAATGCCAAGACAAGCTCTTGTGTCTCTGGTCTGTATCTACTAGGCATTTATTTATTTTTGTTTCATTTTCCTATAATAGTTTTCCCAAATTCCTCTTTTCTAAACTTCAGGGAATCAAGAATGTTGTAGCCAGTCTTCTTCCACTTCAGGAAGTGATGTGATTTATTCCTTCTTAGAAAGTCCAGAATTCAGTTGCAGACTATCTTCCTGGTTTTCCAAACTCTTTGGGCTCTCACCACACACTCTAGCTGCCTTTTTCTCTTGCCTGATCAGTAATCTACTTCTGTGTTTTTTCTGTGTGTCATCAGTTGAGGGGGTGAGACACTTGCTTCAACTGTCTGGGACTCCATTTTTTTTTCTTCCCCTTCCCCCTCCCCACTCTGCATCCCGGCCCTGTCAGAGTCAGTTAGCCTCTCTGAAATTATAAATTAATAAAAATATTCTCACTGGAGGACAGGAAAGCAATCTGCTGAGAAACCTTTTCTCTTTTCTCTTTTCTCTTCTCTTCTCTTCTCTTCTCTTCTCTTCTCTTCTCTTCTCTTCTCTCCATGAGTATTACATAATACCTCCTAAAACTCCAGCTGACAAAGAATTACAGATGTAAATAAACATCTGTGTGCAGTGAAAATAACCGGGAAACATAGCAGAAAAAAACCCACTTTAAAAGCAAAGATGCACTCTTTTTTCTCAAAACAAGATTATAGTAAAACAGACACCTAGCGATCTTGAATGCAGCATAATTATGTATATAAATGCACACATCACAGATGCAACTGGTTAAAGAAAGCATTTTCTGATGGATTGTGTCTCTTGCTGCCTCATCTCCAGCCAGTAAGAGTGCTCAGTCTGGATCCCCATCATTACAAAAGAGGGGGCAATTGGTGGGTCATTTTTTGGAAGATCGCTGGGGCTTGGTCCAAAATAATCAGCTTCTGGTGATCTTCCTAGAACAGCGTTTCTCAACCAGTGGTACGAGTACCCTTAGGGATACTCGAGAGAAGTCTGGGGGATACATCAACACAACTGAAATTTGAAGAACTGAATTTGTGTTAAGTTTTACAGCGCTTCAATATTTTTGTATTTTTTTTACACCAAAAATTTCGTTGCCCACCTGACTACAATTAAGTTGTTTAAACAAATGTATTGCAATGGTTTAAAAAACTGTCAAACTGTAGGTACCGGGAGTACTTTATAAAAAAAAAGTTGAGAAACACTGTCCTAGAATGTGAGAAGACGACATGTTTGACCAGGATTTTGTCGTTTGAGGGATGTTTCCCATGAGGGTATGTTTCCCACAATGATGAAGGGGTGGAAAGGACTCATAGATGGCCGGCTGGCTGGTTCCTAGATTAAATTTATTAGAGAAACAGGATGGGTGAGGTAATTGTTTTATTGAACAAATTCTGTTAATGAGAGACCAACTTTTGAGCTATATAGAGATCTTGTTTAGAACTGGAAAAGGTATTCAAGAGTGTCACCGCTAAATAAAAGTGTAACCAGTTGCTTAGCATAAGTAGTTAACAACTGAAAGAAACCATTCAAAGTGAAGTAAATAGTTAACACCTCTGCAGTCACACAACAGAAAGGTGTCCGCTAGATTCTACAAATCATTGTCTCATAAAGTTCTGAATTTAAGCTACAACTTATGTTTTTGAAGGTGCTATGCAGGTCCTTATTGAGGATGGGGACTGAGGTCTGATATGGAGTAACTGAAAAAGTATTCACCCATTGATGTTAGGGTGTTTCTGGATTTTACCAAAGGAACTCTCAGCATATTGTAGGGGTGGTCTGGTTTCACCACAGAGTTGCTATTTGGGCATATAGCGCACTGACTGAGCTAAACCACATGTTGTGATAGGCATGCGTAGGTGTATTGTGGGGGTATTGATCATTGTAGGAATGGAGCTATGCGTGCAGGTTTTGTATCTGTTGTTCTGGAAGGATCTGGTGCCTCTTTGAGTTGCTGGGTACTGGTCCATGGGGAGCTTGTTTCTGAAGTATAGCATGGGTTGTAATCGATGCTCTGTGTGGGTTCCAGTGAGTGGTGGTAGTTGGGAGGTGACAGCACCGCTGCAGCAACATTGGCAAATAGACACTGTCCTGAAGAGCTCTGAAGACCTTTATGTATCTTGAAGGCTTGTCTCTTTCAACTACCTTTTCTCTCTCATATTCTGGGACCAACACAGCTACAGCAACACTGCTATATAGCATCTTTCAGGTGCATAAATAAAATCTTTGTATTCTGTTTTTAAGGATTCCTGTTATCACAGTGGAGAGGCAAAGCAGTGTTTTATGACTGCCATGTACAGCATTTCCAAATTGACAGCAAAAGATGTGGCAAGAGCTTTTGACCTTTCTCAGTTTAAATCTGCCTGTGATTTGGGAGGTATGGCTAGTACACTAACTTGTATACAAGTAAATGAAAGATACGTACATCATCATTGTAAGAATCTAATTGCAATTATTGCTCTAACTAGTACATTTATTGCAGTTATTGGCTCAAGCTAAAATGAAGTTAAATGGAAGGACACTAGCTTCAAATATTGAGGAGTCCTGTGGCACCTTAAAGATTAACAGATTTGGGCATAAGTTTTCATAGGCAAAGACCTACTTGATCAGATACATTCTGACATGCATCTGTCGGAGTGGGTCTTTGTCCACAAAAGCTTGTGCACAAATAAATGCCTTTGTCTTTTAAGCTGCCACAGGACTCCTGGTTGCATTTTGCAGATACAGCCTAACATGGCTGCCCCGCTGATGGATTCTAATATTGTTCATTTACTTTGAGTATGGCTGGTAAGCTGGGATTTTCCCTGCCAAGAGCAGTAGGTATGGTTCAGTTGCTGGGACTGGAACTAGGAATTCCACTTCCAGCTCTGCCATAGCCTCAATAAGGCCGTGTCTACACTCCACACTTATTTCAAAATAACAGAATGCGCATCTATGCAGCAATCCTGTTTGAAATTATTTCAAAATAACCGGCTTCTTATTCTGACTACTGTAATTCTCATTTCACAAGGTGTAAGGGAAGTCGAAGGAAGAGTGTTCATCCTTTGACTTCCTACAGTGTAGACAGTACCTAAAGCAGAGTTACTTCAACTTCAGCTATGCAATTATCTTAATGTAGCTAAAGTAACATATCTTAGCTCAACTTTAGCTCGCAGTATAGATGTACCCTATGTGAGCTGCACATGTTAATCATGTCAGTTTTCAGGAATGATTAATGACATTTGGATGCCTCTATTTTTGGTGCAAATCTTGAGACATTTTAAAGGGGACTGTTTTACAGAGGTTTGGGATTAAGTGTTTTCTGAAGCCAAGGGCCCTTTTGGGTGCCTTATATAGGAAACAAAAATCACTTATCACTCTTGAAAATATTTATTTCAGTCACTTGTAAAATGCTTACCCACCTGTGTAAAGAACTTGGAAAAGCACTAGGGAAACTGAGTAATTAAAATTATAATTGAGTTGAGGATTTAAAAAAATTCTGGTGAGACAATCTCTAATTGGATACAAATCTAAGATGGCCCCCACAAGTATCTGGTATTGTTTTTTAACTTAGCATTACAGTGTCCAAGTTCCAGGCCTCAAAGGGATCCAGCTGGAAAGCTGCCATTCTCCAGGAATGTCTGTAGGAATCAGCATGGAATTAATGCTGTTCCTAGCAGTGTCTTTGTACTCTGTGCTTGATTCTAGACAGAGAACATGCTGTTATGTAGGAAAAGATTGCTTAGAAGAGAGCTCCTGAGCGAACTGTGCTGCCTATGGGGTGGAAAGGTGGACAGCACATTGGGCCCAGTATATTGCACGGTTAGAACTGCTTTTACCAGTGACCCTCCACAGAGTTTGGAGCTCCTATCCCTTTCTTTGCATCCTTTGCCTTCCAACAGGAGAAACTTTCAAACTATTATTACTGCCAGGCAATTCATGTATAATGTGTAGCTGTTTTGTGTGTGTGTACACACACACACCCACACACCACCACCACCACCACCACCACGAAGGAGGTCAGTGTCATTAATGGTTGGGAAACTAAGACACCGAGAGGGAAAGTAACTTGCCCTTATTTATCCAGCAGGCTAGTTACAATGCCAGGAACAGAACCTATATCTCTTTAGTCCTTCTCCAGACCTATGTCCACTAGGTGACACTAGCTCCAAAGTCCCTTGTAGTCTCTTGGCCATCCCCATCTTGTAAAAGTCTGCAGGTACAAAGGAAAAGTTTCACTTCGCTATTTTTTTACTTATTACAGGTTGCACTGGAACTCTGGCCCATGAACTAGCGCACAAATACCCAAATCTAAGCATAACTGTGTTTGACCTTCCTGATGTCATTGCAAATGTCTCCTGTTTTCAGCCTCCAGGAGAGCACACCACTCCAGTGAAGTTCACAGCAGGTAACTGCAACTACTAGGCTTTGATCCTGCCAGTCCTGCTTCACTGTGCAGTATAGAGCATACTGGTCTGCTCCAGCGAAGTGTGAGCAGAGGCTATATCTGGGGCAAACAAGGTTAAGTACAAGGCAGGGTCTTCCATATTGAGTGGAAGACTTGGGTCCTGGCATGTTCCTTCATTTCCTCATAAGATGGTAGAGTAAAAAGACAGGATTAGAGTGTAGAATAGGGGTAGCTGAGGAGACATGGCTTAAATGACACCAGTTAGAGCCTGGCAAGGACGTTCCTTCTGCATAGGCTGGGTTAGCATAATGGTGATGGTAACATCCTCAAGCACAATTCCATTTTGCTTCTTGACCCTAGCTTCTGCCCAGTTCATAAACTTTACAGTATTCTTGACCTGAATTGTCCTTCTCACCATTTCTTTAACTGTCAACACAAATATTATGCATGCGGCACAGTGGTACACCAGTGCTGAATGAAGTTGTTGTTCATTATCGTGTCCTTTTTAACTATTGAAACTCACTTTACTTTGGTTCACCTGTTCTGAGTTCTGAATTCCAGCCAATGTAGGAAGTGACGTAGAGAAAAGATTTCTTCATGGCCCCCTGTTTATTTTAGGATGCAGGCTGTGATTCCTCTCCTCCTTTCTAAAATATGTTATGGACTTGCTAATTGGCGCAAAAGAACATTGGAAAACCAAACATACTTTAAATCTAACCTGACACTGAAATTCTTACCTTGCATGTTATGCATCCCTAAATTACATTCTTGCTATAAACAATCATAAATGGTTACCTAAATTTCTTTCACTTGGTTTTGTAGAATAATATCACACCAAATATATATTTTTCTAACAGGTGACTTTTTCAAAGATAATCTTCCAGAAGCAGATCTTTACATCCTCTCTCTAATTCTACATGACTGCAGTGATGAAAAGATTCACATACTGTTAAGCAAAATATCAGCTATTTGCAAACCAGGTAACCATTTTTCATCTTGTGAGGTTTTTGTAGTGTTTACAGTATACTGCTTGATAGTAGAAGGATTTTATGTGCAGCTATTTACAGTGACTCCAATTAAAAGTGAATATATCCATCAGTTCCCCCCATTTTAAATAGAAACGTTTGCAAACTGTTACGGTGCAACATACACAGAAGCAGAAAAGCTATCAAGACTATAATTATACAAAGGAACCATCAATTCACTTACTTAAATTTACAAGTTAAATATATCTATATAAAAAATGCCTGTTTTGACAAAAGATGTCAACATGTAGTCAACTACACAATCAATAAGCCTGGTCTTATCAGTTAATCTTGTCGACTACATACTTTCCTCCCCCCCCCCCCCCCCCCGAGGGTGGGAGCAGAAGCTAGTGCCCATGAGGAACTGGCTTTAAACAGGCTCCCCAAGAGCCCCAGATCCACCTGCCCCCCTAGCCCCTACACTGCTGCCTCTGCTGCAGCACAGAGGGTGAGGGGGCAGGCTGGAGCTGAGATGCATGGGGAGCAGGCTTTCAACAGGATCCCCATGTGTGCCAGTTCCACAGACCTGTTTACCCCCGCCCTTGCTGCCTCCTACAGGAGCCAGTGCCGGGGGAGGGGCGGGGGAAGCCAGCTTAATAGCCTGTTTCCTTCAGCACCAGCTCTGTGGTGCCTCCTGTTCCCCTTCCCTCCCCCCCTCCCCCCAAATCAGAGGCAGCAGGGGTAGGGGGCAGGGGAGGCTGCCCCAAATCAGCCTCTGTCCACAGTGGCCAGGGCCTGCCATGGACAGAGGCTGGTCCACAGCAGCAGCCCCTATTGGAGGGGAAGGGGGGGAAGGAGAAAGCTCTTATGGACAGAGGCTGCTCCACATCCCACAGAGCTGCCCCGATCACAGGAGGGTCTGAACTCCCACAGAGCAACCTCTGTCCATGCGGAGCTTGGACCCCTCACGGACAGGGGCTGCTGCCATGCCTGTGAGGCAACAGTGCAGGGTGGCAGGCTGCTGGTCTGCGCAAAGTGTTGATTTTTAAACTGGCTGCCCTCGCGGATAGGCTCCTGCCTGGCAACCTGCACTGATGCCTGTAATAGAGGCAGCAAGATGTTAAGGGGATCCCTGGGCGTTAAGATTTCATGTGGTTACATGACTAATTAATTAGGCAATAGCTATCCCCCTCCATTTCCCTTAGTGTGTTGCTTTCCATCAGCTCTGAACTTGTAAACAATTCTGCATATGCTTATAGTAACTCAGTAAGTCTTAATGAAATTGAACACAATGAGATCCTGTGTTTAGAGTTAAATGTGCATAAATGTTTTCAGGATCCAGGGCCTTTGATGGTAACCTCTTTAAGAGATGGGCTGATGGGTTTTTTTTTTCCCTCTGGTGTGAATAGTATTCAGCATATCCTGGGTATTTTTGAAATAAAAATAATGAAGTGTTCCAGAAATATGAACTTCATATATGCAGTACCATTCCCTACAAACAATATAAAAATACCAAGGAGAAGTGGGGACTGGTAGGAGGATTTAGGTGAAAAGTGATAACCAAATAACTGCATTTGCCAGTAACTTTTAATGAAGGATGGAGAACAGGTGACATGAAAAAAAGTCCTTGGAAGTGATGGACATAGAGAGCACTAAGAGTAGACCAGGGCCACTTGTTTGGAATGCTGTGTGGCTAAATGTTGCCACAAAGCCATGTCTCTGTTTGGCTGTTGACATAATGATATCATTTAGCTGATAATATGCTTTAAGTAGTAATGGTGATCTTTGCTGAATCACTTTGCTGAATCACTCCTGAAAACCAGAGAGAGAAGTGCCTGCTTTCTTTATTCTTTACTACCTTCCTCATCTATCAGGAAATGGTCACTGTAGTGATCTTGAACCCTTTTCTGTGAAATAGTATTACATCTGAGCTGTGTAAAATACTTTGACAATCCTGTTCAACACCCTCTTGTTTTATACCTGTAGAGTAGTCTCTTGTTAGTTTGAGAGAATGGGCCTAGACAGTGGATAAAGGAAAAGGTTTCACAGAGAAATCAGAAAACTAAAGACAACTCTCCAGGCTTCTCTATCTTCTAACATCTCTCCACTTCAGGGGTGAGAAATGAAAGGGAAATGTTTGCCAAAGGCTCACGCCGCAAACTCACTAAGGGTATGTCTAGACAGTGGAGCTATTTCAGGATACCGGTGGTACCCTGAAATAGCTATTCCATGTCCATGTCTTTGAAATGTGCCCGTTATTTAAAAATTTTCAAAATAACGGGCATGCTATTCTGGCATCCCTGTAGCCCTCATTTGAAATAGCGCTTATTTCAAAATTTGGCACTGTGTAGACGCACCCAATTTCAAAATTGGGTGCATCATATTTTGAGTTTAGGGTGCTGTGTAGACGTTTAACACATTAGGCATAGATACACTTTTTCACCATTTATAATAGCACTTGAATCAACAGCATTGCCATTTGGAAGCTAAGAATATTTTGTTTGTTTTGGAAACACAGGCAGTGCCTTGCTAGTGGCAGAAATTGTCCTTGATGAAGAGAAGACACACCCTCATAGAGCAGTATTACAGTCCCTCAGTATGACTGAAGGCAATCAGAGAAGTGGCTCAGAGTATAAGCAGCTACTGGAGAAATATGGATTCACCAATGTGCAAATTAAGATCACTGGAAACATCTTAGATGTGATTTTAGGCTTCAAGAGAACCTCTGCACATTAATTTGCACTGCAAGTAAGTGGAGCACTCAGCTTTTGTAACTTCACTTTCATACAACCATCAGCCAGATATAGTATGGATTGTTTTGTTAGGTGAAGTACTACATGGAGGGGTTTTTTTTGGGGGGGGGGGGGAGAAGAGGGTTGATTTTTTTATTATTATTTTTTTTTTTTTAAGTCTAGTGTCCTAGTTCTCTGGAAAATGGTTGAAATCTGCAGGAACTTTCTTCCTTAAGCAACTTATTTGGTGGTTATGAATAATTGAATTTGCCTTTACAAAAATGCACTTTGTACAATTTTGACCATTTTGGGAGGCACTCTTTTTGCTCTTGGTCCCTTAGGCTATGTCTAGACTGCACTGTTAAATCAGAAAAAGATATGCAAGTTGCGGTATGCCAATTGCATATCTTTTTCTGATTTACAGTAGACTTCCGATAATCCGGCACCTTTGAGACCAAGAGGGTGCCGGATTATGTGATATGCCGGAGTATCAGGAGGTACTCCGGCAGGGGAACTGTGACGGGTGGGAGGGAGGTCAGCAGGGAATGGCGCAGCATGGGGCGAACCCTCCAACAGGCCAGCTGGAGCTGCAAGTACCCCTTCAAATTTCAAGTACAGTAAAACTCCAATTGTCCGGCATCCAGTGGTCTGGCACTCCCAATAGTCTGGCACCAACTGGAACCCGGAAGTGCTCCGGCCAGCTGGACAATTGGAGCTACTGTGAGCCCCAAATCCACCGCTGCTGAAACTGATGAGCAGCGGACTTGGAGAAGCCGTGGGCAGAGCAGCTGGGGTGCTGCTGGGCTGGTCCCACAGCGCCATCCCTTGCCTCACCCCCTTCTTCTCCACTGCCACTTGTAGCCCCAGCTGGTCTGTAGCAGGCAGCTGCGCGGGGCTTTCCCCTGCCTCCCTGCAAAACGGTGGAGGGTTCGCCCCTCGTCATGCCTTTCCCCGCCCCCCAGCCAGCCACAGTGTGGGTCCAGGCAGACCCGTCATGGGTATAATCCCTTTTCCCTCCCTTTCCCTTTCCCGGCCCTTGAGCGTGAGTGGGGCTCACAGGAGCTCCAATTGTCCAGCTGGCTGGAGCACTTCTGGGTTCCAGTTGGTGCCGGACTATCAAGAATGCCGGACCACTGGATGCCGAACAATTGGAGTTTTATTGTACTTTCAAAAGGGGCGTTTTCGAAACTTGGCACAGCTACACGGTGCCAGATTGCGAAAGAAAGTGCTCTTTCAAGCCAACCCTTATTCCTTGTAGAATGAGGTTTACAAGGATGGTGAAAGAGCAGGTGCATTCCTTGGACGCAGCGTTGCTATTTCAGGATACCTCTGGTGTCCCAAAAAAGCAATGCTGTCTAGACATAGCCTTAGTGCTTTGCTCAAAGCAGAAGAGGAGAGAGAACCTTGACACGCATATTTTTGCAAACAGAAATTTTTAAAAAGTGGGATTTTTCAGAAGTCAGGATTATAGGCAAAACTGCCCCTTCATTACTTAGGTTTTTGTGAAACTCCCAACCAGAACTATCCTGTCACAAAGGTCTTTACTACTATTGACTCAAGATTCTATGGTGACAATTTCACTGCAGCCTCTGTTCAGGCTGTCCTGCAAGTGAACTGGCCACCAACATGCTCTTTCAAACTCAACCTGAATCATACCTCTCAAGTACAGCTGTTCTTGAGAGAAGAATCCACATGGTAAAAGGTTAGATCAAAAGTGGGGAACCTTTTTTGGTTGGGGGGCCATTCACCCAGAGAAAAATCAGTCGGGGACTGCACACAAGTGAGAAGTACAAAAAAACCAAAACTCACTGAAGTGGCTCCTGACTGAGAGAGAAACATTTCCCCTCACATACCAGAGCCTAGGGCAACCTAGGCTAGTAGATTTTGTGTGCTCCAGCCCTATGGGCTCCCTAATTCTGGGGGGGAACCCTAGGCCTTGGGGGCTGGATCCAGGCAAACCAGGGGTCGCATCCGGCCCCTGGGCCTTAGGTTCCCCACCCTTGGGTTAGATGATTACATCATCTTTCTATCTGTTATTTCCTTATCAAAATACTAGTGCTCTCAGCATGGTGTTGAAAAGAGAAGAGGCACGTAGAAATACCAGATTTTAAGGTTTTAATTGAGGGGGATAAATATGTATTGTATGTCCTGATTATCAACTAACTTGTCACTCTGGTTTTCCCACTATTTCATGTGGTGTTTCTCCTGGTAACTAATAGCGACTAGTAAATAAAGCTATTGGTTTTTTAATCTCTGGGCATTTGTGAGTTTACTGGCTACAGCAGATTTCCAACCCCACTCAGGCAGGACACAAAAGGAGCGGCTGTACATACTTTTAGTCGCGGATCTCAGCAACTGTCAAATTCTTTTAGCAAGGACAAGAGCTTTGTCTGGCACAGTTTCTTGTAAGTTAATCTTATAACACAAATGTCTGTCATTAACATAATTTTTTTTTCTTTGAGCACTGAGCAGGATAAAGGTGCAGTGAGTTAAAATATCCGAGGGATATATTTAGAACAGTATGGTTCAACCATTCATGTTTATCATGAAAATTTGTCACATGCTACTTATGTTTTCCTACAATAGTAGTAGTAATTAATAATGACTATTTTTATTCACCTGTAATAGTTTCTTGCCCTAGGTGAGTAGAATTTGGTAAGACTATACTATTGAAAATGGAATAAACCAAAACCAAGTATCTGTTTTGGTACAAAAAGTAGTCTTTCTACTTTTAACTGGTCTATATTTAAAATAATAGCATTATTATGTCAATTGATGAAAGTTTGATTCTGTCTCACCAAGCAGTGACAGATTTACACAAGCTGTAGGACAGTCGTATTTTATCATACTGTTAAATTAAAGCTCTGCTCTCCCATTATTGTGTACTCACTTATGATTTGCAAAGCTTTTATAGAACAGTCAGCTGAAACATAAACCCAGTGTCTTGAATGAGAAAAGCACAGCATTATGTCAAGTTGCAGTGGAGGAGGCCTAGGATGGATATTAGGAAAAACTATTTCAGTAGGAGGGTAGTAAAATACTGGAATGGGGTTCTCTAGGGAGTTGATGGAATCTCTGTCCCTAGAGGCTTTTAAATCCCAGCTTGACACAGCCCTGGCTGGGATGATTTACTTTTTAGCAGGGAGTTGGACTCAGTGACCTTCTGAGGTCTCTTCCAAACCTATTTGATTGTATATATTTACTCTAATCTCTTTAGGAATTAACTTTAGCTTTGCAAAATTAGGAAGAAAAAAGTTTACCTTTTTGAAAATTTCAAATAAGGCGTTCATCTGAAGTAACTGTTGAAACAGAATTCTTTGTGAAAGGGGACAGCTAAAATAGTTTTCACTAACTGGCTTTGAATGTCTCACAAAGGGTAGCTAATGAGAGCTGCAGGAGCATGTACTTTGCTCAACAGTGGGTGTTAGCTTGTCTCAGTCTAAAGCGTTCCAGAGAGATTGGCTGACATTCAGGAAAGATCAATGCTGAGATTGCCTTTTGTTCTTACTTTTTTAAAAAAAGGGGGGGGGGGATTTTTGTGCAAAAAGGAGCAGTCTACACAGTGCTTTTTGTGCAAAAACCTCTTGTGCAAAAGGGATCAGAGTAGGAAATGCAAATGAGTGTGACATATGAAAATGAGCACTCTATTTGCCTTTTCTCTTGCGGAAGAGGATTGTAGTATAGATGTAGCCAGAGTAGAGAGGAGAAAGACATTTGCAACATTTTTGCTTGCTGACAGGCCTTTTCCTTCCATTCCCAAGACTCCTACTGAGTTCAGTGGAAGTACAGCAAGTGCATTGAATTCAGGGCTGGGCTGGGCAGAGAGTTTAATATATTATAGACTTATGGGGAGAATGACAGACATTCTGAATACTAGATACTAGACCAATAATCTGATTTTTATAAAGGTACAAATATTAATAAATTGCTTCCCTATCCAAAATTTATTTCTGTTCACTATTGTTGCTATGACTGGGTCTTAAAATTTCCACTGTCTGAACAGTGGTTTTAGGTGACCCATTACAATTATCCAAATCTGTAATGAAGGATAATTTAGTATCATCCAGATGTCTGAACTGCTGCCAGTACTAAAACCCATTTGTTCACTATTTGCTGTTTAGTGGTCGGCTACTTCATGCTAGTGAGGAATGCCCATATTAATATGAAGAACAACACTCACTAAAATGAATGGATGTAACTCTGTGTGTGATTCTTTAGACATGAGAGGATGTTCATATGAATTCAGTTTACTTATCAGAATCTCATCCACATATTCATTTGACTTCTTTACGGCTGTCTATATAAATGACATAAATCGGTTAATGGAATTATGTCTGAGAGGCCAAATAGATCACCAAATGAATGGAGAAAAGGTGCAAAGTATTGGTGGTGTCGGGTCACTGATGTAGTAGGTCAGGATTCACTGCCGTGTCTTGACAGGTCTATGGCTCCGTTGATAACTAGAAGGCTGCTTGTGTGTGTGTTCAATGTGTGCGCCATGCTGACTTATTCAGCAGACCCTGGGAGAGCCCCCAAAGACCACAAATCAGATAAGGATCAAAAGTTCCAAGCCAGGTTGATTAAGTGAAGTACAATAATAGTTGTCAGATTCTACAGATTCACTATGCACATGTACTCCTAACAATGGCCTCAGCCAACCAGTGGGAAACCCTGCTGCCCTCTGGCTGGACAAAGACTTATCTCCCCCCAGACATCCTGTTTATATACAGGTACTAACAAGTTACACATCACATCTGACATTGTCAACTTACCACCCTCTGACACTACTTAGATACTACCATCACCCTGTACCTTGTGGTTTGATTAGATTATCTCTATCCATCATACTGCCATTTTAGATCCTTTCCTGAACATGGGTCCATATCTGTGGGGAGTGTGGGTACCAAGGACTAATTTTTTTTTTAATGAGCTGGTGGTAACATGTGCTTTCAACTTGTGACCAGTATCCATTACTGTTTTACAGTCAGTGCCTAGTATCAATTATTCTCCTACACCTGAGCCTATTACCAGTTAGTGTTTTACATTCTCTTCCCTGTTCATGCCAAGTTCTGTGAGCCAGGGGCCGGCCTGCCTCTTGCTCGTAGCTTAGCTTTGCTGTATATTAGCCATGTGTTATCAATTGTCAGCTAGGCTTCAGGCCTCAAACCAGGCCTGTGCGCTATGAGCTTATATTTTAGGGCTTCATTTTATTACATTTGGGATTAAAAGATCAGTGAACCCAGGGAAAGGAAATCAGAGAAAAGAGAGCTCAATTACTCGCTCTCTGAATAAGAATCCTTGGGGGTGAGAGTGTTGTTTGGTAAGATACAGCAGAGGTTTGTGGTGTATATTTCCTCCCTCCTCCCCACCCCCCCAATTTGACTGAAGCTATTCTGAGAGATTTTTTTTCCCAATATGACAGGTTTTTTTAATATCCTATTAATATATCCTCAATTGCCGTGAGTAGTCACTGGGAGATTTGTGCTGATTCTGGGAGACTCCAGGTCAAAGTCCTACGGTGGGCAGCTCTAACCTTAATACTTTCACTCAGAAATTAACCACTTTCTGTGCCTGAGAGATCAAAGGGGCTGTGGTTGTGGCATGGCTCAATATGAGCTTGAGCTCCAACCACAAGGGTTTAGGAAGTGTTATCTACAGGCTATGCTCCCCTTTCCCTTTGTTGGCTGCCAGGTCAGTTTTAATCAGCTTGTTGTTGTGCTGGAGGGGAGCTTCCAGGTTCTCATGGCATCCCTTACTGTCTATCAACCATGATGGAATGTTAGAAGAGGCACCACCTCCTCCCTGACATTGGCCATGTCTCCAGCTGCTTTATTTGGTACTAGGGATAGAGTTAAGGATGCCATTTCTGAGGCTAAATGTTGGGGTTGGTCTGCTACAGAACAGTTTTGTGGCTGCAGCCCAGGAAAGCTCACCCATACACTTGCAAACCTTGCCTGCTCAGAAGCTCTCTAGCAATAGCCGCATCCCTGGCCCTAAATCTAGTCCCATGGAAGTCAATGGGAATTTTGCCATGGTCCACTTGAAGTGAAATTAAATTGGTTGATACTAGGGGGAGCGCACATCATGTAACAGCAGTCCCCAGGAGCTAAATTCAAGGTTCATGGATCCAATAGCCCATCTAATGTAGTGGGGGATTTGGGGAAAGGGGAAGAGAGAAAACAAGGAGTACAAACTTGCACAGAATCATCCTATTAAAATAAATGAGGATTGGGAGCAATCTATAACAAGATTAGTTGCCATTCTTAGAAATGAGTACATAATCTGCAGTGGCCCTGACACACAAGTCATCAGCTACTTTTACTAGGTGCATTTATACTGTGAAACACAACTTACCTTTTTCCTCTTTTTTCCCCCATCCCCTTCCCTTCCACTACAGTCACTGTGTAATAGGCTTATTCCTATTTTCCCTTCCTCTTATGCTAATTTAAGTGGAAGCCCTTGTGTATTGCTGCTTTGCTGCAAGAACTCTTACAATTATAGGACTGTCCTTGTTTCTACCTCTACATTTCTGCCTGCAGCTTTCAAAACGTGCAGGGCATGATTCACTGCTGCATCACTCCTGTTTTATAATTATGTAAGTTCATTGATTTAATTTGAGTTAGTTCAATTCTACAATCACAAGGACGGTTACAGTAATTTCCTCCTGACCTTTGCCAAGAGGTCAAAGAACCTTACATAGTAATTTCTGCTTCTGCAAGGATCAGTATGACCAGCCTTCAAGTTAAATTCTGTCTAAGCCTTTCTCAAGAATGGTCTTCATTTCCACTGTAAAATGCTCCTTACCTGCAGCCTTTTTTTTTTTTTTTTTTTTCCCTCTATAGTGTACATTGGCATCCTTTCCAGACTGGCAGTGTTTGATTTCCCTTGCGTATGTTTTGTTCAGGTTACGTTCATGGCATTCAAATGTGATTTACTATAGTGTATTAAAGTTGCCTTGCTCTTCATGTTTTCCTTTCAATGTCTCTCAATGGTTCCAGTTGTATTACAAAGCTGGCTCAATAGCCTAGAAGTGCTAGCCTTGTCTTGCTGTGTATAGCAACACTGGCAGTGTGGCCAGGAGCAGCAGTTTTGCTGAAGGAGGTGTGAGGGGGAAGCCATTCTACAACAGAACCTGTACATATTCAGGCTGTATGACCAAATGAGAATTCACATACTGGGTTTGTTTCTCAGTTATACACAGCCAGGTTCTCTGCTGGTAAGAATGTCACCTTCTTTGTATGCTCTGTAAGGCAGGTTGAGACATCCACAAAGAAGCCTCTTACAACAGCTTCACACCTGCCAGCAGGAGCCATAATGTCAGGAGTGCCTCTGAGGTAATTGTTGCAAGGGACAGAACACAGATATGAATTTGACTCTGTTGTCCTGCACCTTGTGCAGGCATTTACATCTGTAAAAAAGAAGTGTAAAATGTTCGGTTGGTCTGATTTGTTAGCATTTTACACCCATTTTGCACTGATGTAAATGATTTGACAGGACAGTGGAGAATAACAAATAAAATAATCAGTTTGGTCAACGTTATCTTATGCAATGGAGAATAGCCTCACCATAGTCTTTCCTCTGTACTCACACCTGAGCCCTTCTATCCCCAGAGAAGCATTATGGAGGGGCTGCTGTAGGACAGTCACTTGCTATGTTTCGATAGTGCCTAGCTCAATGCTCCTGCAATATAAATATAAACGATTCAAAAGAAGATGGGACAGTGAGTGCCACTGAGGTGGCATTTCTCCTATTTCTTACTCTGTCTGTCTCTCTCCTCCCACCCCTGGCCAGGTCCACCAAATCTGAATCCAGATTTGTGAAAGGAAGTGGCACTGTGTTTTGTACAAGGAGCTAGTGTATACATACATGTAGTCATTTTGATCTAGTAACTTGAGTACATCTGAAATGCAAAATTAGACCACCACCATTATCTAATGCAATTTTGTAGAGCACCTGTATTTTTTGTATTTTATTGCAGATGAGCATTATGAGTTTGGTTTTGTATTGCTTTAAATTAGGCTGTGCCATTTTACAGGCTGAAATGGTATTGGATGATGGGAAGAAAAGGAAAGAGCTCAAGTTTGCTGCAGCCCTTGAACATGCTTGATCAGACAGAGGGAAAGGAGAGGAGTGGCTCTGAATATAGACTGGAACATCATTGCTTCACAAATACAGAAATTGAAAACTGATAGAAAATGTTAGATGTCTTCTGACTAAGAACTAAACAAATGTTACTTGGTAATAAAAATTAGAATACAACAGCAATCACATCTGATGGTTTTTATTATGATGATTTTCCCATCAGCAACTTATGCAAGAAACATGTAGCCTTGGAAGCTTTCTGAAACTACTTCAGTAATTGAGAGAGATTTGTATAACCATTCCAAAATGTGAGTGAGAATACCACTAGCTCTGTGGCTGCATTGTAGTTCTGTGGCTGCATTGAAGTGCTAGTACTTTGTAAAACTACTCCAAAATCGGAAGATGTATCGACAGTGATACATTTTTGGCATTGCTAATGAACCACTTTGTTTCTCTGAGTCCACATAAGATGGCATTATTTCTGGACCAGAACTCATTGCTATTTCTTCACCCTCCTACTATCCCTTGGATGTTAGTGCAGCTCTCCATCTTACAGTCCTTTTACTGTAACTTTTACTCTAGTCCTCTATATGCTCCATTCCGTTTTGGACCATTATTCATCTTTCACTCGCCCACTTTGCCTCTGGCTTCAAGTTCTACCTGACTTCTTTAACTTTCCTCAGTATAATTTGTCCTATTTTTTTTCATGCTCTGTTTTCATTTTTTTCACTGTATATTAGCTCTTCCCTTGCTCTGTCAAGGTAGGGCATTGGTGGAATGTGGAGAAAATGATTAGAACAGTGCTTATACTAATTCTTCCTTCATTAAGACTCCTCCTTTTATCTCCACATTTACTTTTTCCCCACTGTCCACTATTCCTGCTTCTTCTGGGCATCTTTGTTGCCTACCGAAGATAGAACACCTCCAATTCTTATACTCTACATTCACCCACCACACCTCCTGACTTCTTTCCCCAGTTTACCTACAATCCGTCCTAAGATCTCTCCTTCTCTGACCTTTCTCCTTGTTCATAACATTCTGGCACCAGCCCCAGGTGTTCGCTGTTGTCTTTTGCCCTTCACCTTTAGGGGTGAAATACCACTCCTGGATCCCCATTGTCTTATCCTAGGAGATCAGCTACTTCGTGGCAGTCAGAAGAAGCTCTATTCTACCTCTTTCTATTACTAATAAAGTTGATAGCAAAACACACAAACTCTAAACACAATTAACTCATGATCTACTAGAAATGACAGGAGTGGGGATGGGTGAGATTCAGAGTTTAATGACTTGGAAAAGACGAAAATCAAGAGGAAAATAAATTGTTTTCCCAAACAAGTAAAAACATTAATCAAATGCAACAGTGGGGCGGCTTCTTAACAAACTGTAGTGTTTACAGAGAAACTATTCAACCTGAATAGTCTGCCCTTAACCAGAAATGTGGGTACTAAGTTAAAGGCTACATCTATACTGTACTCTTATTTCTAAATAAGCTATTCTGGAAGAAATACTCTGAAATAGCTTGTTTTGAAATGGCATGTCTACACTATGGAGAAGCCTCAAAATAATGTGGACCTGCTACCTTGATTTAGACACACGGGAGGCCCTGGGGAGTAATTAGTTTGACTGGTCCTTGGAAGAGCTGTTTCAAAATAGCATCAGTGGCGTGTCCTTGCTACTGTTATTTCGGAACAGGTGATGTTCCTTGTGGAATGAGGTTTGCAGAAGTCAGAATAAGTTACCCTTTATTTTGAATTTTTTTTTAAATATTTTGGAATGGCCATCTAGATGCTTGCATTGTTGGTTTGGAATAATGGTTGTTACTCTGAAATAATGCTGTGTCCTGTCTAACATTGCCTCTCTTAAGAATAGGTTCTAATGTCCATTGTAGTGTATGAGCAATTGCTGACAATAATGGTCACTTCATCTGACCATCTTTGGGCAAATTCATCTCTGGAGTAACACTATTGATGTCACCTAGAATTATAGTTAATATCCCTCATGTTCTTAAAAAAGCACTCCAGGAAACAGTGTGCAGTATGTAAGTCACTTGTGGAAAGCTACATTGTATTACATGAACACATTGACTAGCTTTCCACTGCAGAAACAACTTTTGTAGGATATCTGACTCTCACCAATATATTTTCATTGTTAGATGACTCAGCCTACTTCCAGTTTAAACCTCCCCTATATTTAAAGATGGAATATTTTCTATTTTTCAACTGTGAGGATGGATTCAGGGTGGGGGACAGGAGTCAGGACAAAGGGTTTGGAAGAGGGAGACTCAGTACAGGGTGGAGAGTTCAGGGGCGGGGGCGTTGCCACCAGCTTCTCTCCAGGGGTATGGGGGGGAGGGAGGATGCATGCATCCTGCACACGGGCTTCTCCGTGGGGCTGGCCCAGGTGGAGGGGGCCATGCAGACTGCCTAGTGATCTACTCCTGGGCTGGTCCCAGAGAACGCCACCCACTGGCTTCTCCTTGGGGGCAGTGGAGCCCATGCAGGCCACCCACTAGTGCTCCCCAGGGTGACTGGGCCCATGCAGGCTGCCCACTGGCTCTCCCTGGAGCTAGCCCAAGGCAGTGAAGTGGCAGCTGCTCCCCAGGGCAAAAGAGTGAAATATATAAAGAAACAGGCTGATAAAAACTTTTAAATAGTGTGAACTTTACAAGCTTTGCAGGCAGTTAAGAGCCCCAGTTTGTAGCTCCTAAAGTGCATTAGGCAGGACATTTCCAAATAATAGAACTGACATATGCTATTCTCCAATTTTACAAGCCAGCACCGCTTTTAAATCCAAGTAATTGTGGTTGTATATATATATCCCATATAACGTTTTGCAGGAATTTATTACATAATAATAGAAGCATAGCCCGTGAATTTATCTGGGTCTCTGGTGCCCCAACAGTATGACTATTCCTAGGCCAGGCTCCACCAAAGCTTGCTGCATTCCCTTTGTATGTTCCCCCAACCTCACCTGGGCTATGTCTACACTCGCAGCTTCTTGTGTGAGTAATATGCAAATGAGGCTAAGCGTGGACTATTGCTGAGCCTCATTTGCATACCTAATGAGCCACCATTTTTTTTCAGAAGAGGCTCTTGCGCAAGAAGGAGCGTCGACACTGCCCATTCTTGCACAAGAAAAACCCTCTTGCACAATGCCGTTACACCTATTACTTTTCAGGAAGAACGGCATTGCGCAAGAGGGTTTTTCTTGCACAAAAAGGGGCAGTGTAGACTTTCCTTGCACAAGAGCTTTTTCTGAAAAAAATGGTGGCTCATTTGGTATGCAAATGAGGCTCAGCAATATTCCACGCTTAGCCTCATTTGCATATTACTCACGCAAGAAGCCACGGGTGTAGACATAGCTCTGCTGTCCCTAGGTGACTTAAAATCCTCCAGGGCGTGCCCTTCCGCTTCCCACCGGCAGCATAGTAGGGCTAGAGCAGTTTCCTGCTGTTTGCTCCCCATGGCTGCTGGCACGTGTGTGCAGTGTATTTGCTCCTACAGCTGGAACAGGGAACAGTGTACAGAGCCCACCCCTTTCCTTGGGCCACAGGGACATGCTGGCAGCCAAGAGGAGCGAGCAGCAGGAAGGCACTCTAGCTCTGCTGCACTACTGATGGTGACAACAGGGGCCCCCAGGGCATTTTAAATCACACAGGGATGTCAGGTAGGACTGGGGGAGGGAGCACATGGATGCAGCAGGTGGGCAGCAGTGTCCACAGACATCCCCTAAGAGCCACTGCCAGGGTGAGGTACCCCAGATAGGCGTAGAACCTTCCACCTATAGAGATTGCATCCTCTTCTCCAACACCTCCATCCTGCCCTTGAACTTCTTCCCAGAGCCTGCACTCAAGACACACACACCCTGGGGCAGGTCAGAGACAGCACCCAGACTCCATCTCAGAGCCTGCATTCTTCCCCTTCCTGCATATACATACCTTCCCAGAGCCTGCATGTCGGACCACCACCACCACACAACCATCACAGAGCCCCACCACTCACCCCTCCTGCATCCAAACTCCCAGAACCTGCATCCTCTTCATTCTCCCAACTCTCTGCTCCAGCACAGAGCCTTCACCTGGAACCCAAACTCCCTCCCAGTCAGAGCCCGCATCCCTCTCCCATCCAAACTTCCTTCCAGAGACTTAGACAGGGGAAGGGAAGAGAGTTTAAGAGGGGGAGAGGCACTGGGCATTTTGAACAGCATTTCCCGGCCCCATGCTGTATGAAAGATCAATAGAAAGGACAAGTAAAAATTATTAAAGGGAAAATAATGAAACTTGCAGTGCACAATATGCTGTCAAATGCACAGCTGAAAAAATAGTTGTCTTCTCTCAAGTATAATCTAATTTTACATGGTACTCTTAAAATAGTAGGTATAATGTCAGAAGTGTGGCTTTTATGTTTGTAATATCACTTTCAGTATTCAATAATGTGAAAACTGACAGCATATACAAGCAGCATAATTCTGCTGAAAAATTCCAGCACTGATCTATAGTACAAACCTATATTGGTACCAGGAGACATACCCAGCATTGCTTGGGTCTAGCAGGGCAGGGGCCTGGCAGCGTGGGGAGTTCAAGAGTCAGGGCAGAAGATTGGGTGTGTGTATGTGGAAGTGCTCAAGACAAGGCGTAGGGATACAAGACTCAGGGCAGGAGTGTGATGGGGTATGGTTCAGGGCAAGAGGCTGGGAGATGTAGGGGGCTCAGGATAGGAAGCAGGAGGCTTAGGCCAGTGGGCTCAGAGGTCTGGGGGGATTCACTGAGGCTGTCTATGGAAGCAAAGACAACACTGTAGCTTCTGCCCCTACCCCCCAGCTCCTCCTAGAGGTTTTTGGTTGTGGTGTACCTTGGGAGGTTGGGGGTGAAGCTCTGTAGCCCAGCCCCAGCCTCCAGGAGCTCTTCTCTGGGGCAACAGGGCTGCTAAGTGGTGGCTCCATTCTGGTCTGCTGCTGCGGCTGAGGGTCCAGGGAGAAGTTTGGGATAAAAGGCTACTTACCTGGGCCATTTGCTAGCAACATGGAGAGCCACTCTCTTCCTGGTGTGGTTCCCTGTTTTCACTCTGCAGTATATCACTGTCCCTCCTATCAGCCCTCTCCCTTTCTGTGTGTCAGCAGGGTCTGAACCATTGCTTCCAATGCAGCCAGCTGAAAGGGGAAAGGAGTCCTGGGTGTGGGTATGTGAATCCAGTTCAGTCAGTGCTACAGGCCTGATGGATGGTCAACTGTTAGAATTTTGTGTATTGTAACTAATTTGGCTGTTGAAAGGTCACAAATCATGTTAATCTTAAATGTAGGAATTCTAAAATATAACCACCAGTGCTTGCAGGAGAGACACTGTCAATGTAAAGAGTCTTGGATGGACAAGGCTTCCCTTTCTAGACTCAAATGGATTGAAGGGGGGAAGGGAGCTTGAACCAGCAGGTTACATGCCACCAGCTGTAAGACTGGTTCAACTTGTTTACCCTCCTGCTCTAAGGATAGAACTAAAACAGACTCCACAAGGGTCTCTTTATTATTTTAAAATATTATTCCAGTGGAAGGGAATCTTTGGCTAACCTATGTGGTGGACCAAGAGCTGAAATCACTAGGTTTGGCCCAGAGCCAGACCCATCATGGAAGCAGCAGCAGGCAGCTAGCAGGGCGGCTGGCAGGAGCAGTTGGCTGGTTGGTGGGAGCGGCCAATGAGCACAGTGGCTGGTGAGAGTGGCAACAGGTGATCAGTAGGCAGCTGGCAGCCAGCAGGGCAGCTGGCGGGAGCAATAGTGAGTGGAGATAGAGGAGGTTTCTGTGGCACAGCCTCTGCCCGCAGTGGCTCTTACTACATTTAAAATGCAGAGCCATGGAAAGGGTGGCTCCCAGCTCAAGCCAGCTCCTGGAATTACCCCCCATTGTGACTCTGTATTGACTACATGATTAGCCAGATCACAACTCATTTTGTTAAGTTGTGGGTAACAGTTTACGACCATTCGCCTTTACAACCAACAATGTCGTAAATGGCGGTGGTGTGTAACTCAGTGGGGTCCGACTTACGAACAAACCGAGTTACGACCAACTGCTTGGTCTGTAAACGGTTCCTAAGTCGGAGACAGGCTGTACACAAAACTTCTGGTGACAGGGAAAGGCAGGGAGGATGCCCAACGGGAGTGGGTCTTTGTTTTTATTAAAAGTCTGCCCTATTGCAGGCAGTTGATCCGTGAATCGGCAGACGTGGGAGCTACAGCAATAGCCGGTGGAGGGTTCCTAGCCCGGT